GGTCCTCAGCGGACCCAACGCTATCACTCTTCACTAGACCCAGTGACCCAGTAAATGCAAGCCCCTGCATCAGAAAAACCGGACATGTGGCTAAGCCGTACACACTACGGGATTTGTTCATTCGGATACTGTATGAACAAAGTCGTACATGGGACTTTCCAGCAGTTGCGAAAAATGCGTGGGAATTTTAGCCTTGATTCCTCTGCTCACAAATGAAGGAGAAAACCCGGATGCGTTTTCTTGATACCATCTATTCGACCAGTAGCTGGGTTTGTATTGTCATGGAGGAATAAGCCTCCATGGTATTGTGGACATCATATTGTTTAGGCCTAAACACCAACAAGAGTTATTTTCACATTGGAAGCTTGAAATCTATCGAGGCCTTGCTACAATTTCATCATCATGTGTGTTCCGGGAATTTTGCTAATGTGACTTCTGTTTCACGACAGTGAGGAAAACGAGGACATGTTTTTCTCAGGAAGACATCAATTCTTCTCTACTGCTCAAGTTTGTCTTATGAACATCCAGATGTCTTTTCTACGAAACTGCAAGAGCAATTTTGGAACAGGGATTTTTTTAAAGGCTACATGTAGACGGTTGTTTTGGAATTTGTACCATTGAAACTTCAGTTTTCACGAAGACCAGGAAAATCCAGATTTTTAAAGTTCCGATTCTACATTTCTAGGTTTGTATTCTGAACACCTTTGTATATACCCTAGGTCTACGCATGAGCCCGATCGATTTCGGGTGCAGGAATTCTCGCTGTGTGTTCTGAATTTCGCTGCACATTTTTGCCGACTTTTATTTTCCTTTTGCTCGGGAATTCACTGGAGTATCATCAAAATGTGCCATTTGGTAACGATGAAGGATTATTTCCCCAACGGATGCAGTTTGTACACTTCACCAACTCTTGTGGCTCTTGATATTCATAAACGGCCTTGTAAGAATATCGACGGTCATGTGTTGTTATAGCAACCAAATATGACAACCATCCGTACGAAATGCCTGCAGTGTTTTTCTGTCCTAGAAAGTAGATTCATTTGTGCTGAAAAAAACTCTGAGTCTGCGTTTCAAGCACCAGAAATTTCATTTTCTTTTGTGATTGTTGCTCTTCGGTGCTTGTTGAAGAAACTTGATTCATCAAGTCATATTTTGTGGTTTACAAATTTGTTTATAAATGATTTAGGCCACATGTATTTGTGGTATGGGTCTGCCTGTGGGGTGGGTACATGTTGCACATTTGAAATCGTGATGAGAGACTCCCCCAAAAACCAAGAACGTTGTTTTTCAGGCTTTACTCAATTTCAAAGCACAGAAATCTTACCCTGGCTTAACCAATTTTTAAGTCTGGTAACTAGCCAGTGTTTTTTTTCCCCAACTGTTGAAGCATAGTTAATGGTTGAAAGTCTCTGTGGATATTCTGTTTCGTTGTCTGCAAGGGGACCCGCCTAATTTGGTCCAATTGGTACCAAACGTTTCTTCTGCTTTGTCTTGCGATTTTCGACACAAGTTCATGGGAGAGGAACCCCCAGAGTGATAATCTTATTTGTTTCCAGACGTTGGAATGGTTTCATAGGGAGCCAATCATGCAGCTTCACTGTGTGGGGTGCGTCCAAGCGATCGTTTGGGCCCAATTGGTGGGGCAGAGGAGTTGTCACTAGTAGTTTATGAAACAAAGACTGGTATGTATAGTTAACCTGGTCGCAACCACGCAGTGTCACTTCGCCCGTGTTGGAATGTTGAGACTCCAAAAGTAAAAAAAAAAAAAAGATTCAAGTTTTTTTGAAAGAATTGGGTTGAGTGACAGCAACCGATCTTACTTTATAAATGGTACGCAGCTTCTGCATGTGTTGTCTCCCGCATCATTAGGCCAAAGGGATGGTTGATTGATCCTTGAGGTGGCCCTTTAAAGGATGCCTCGGTGGATAGACCCCTGCATGCAGCTTGCAATGAATGACTCAGTGTGCAGACCACCATCACTGTGTATTGCCTTTAAAGGGGCTGTCATCATGGAAGAACTTTGGACTACCGGTATCTGTCATATTGCCTTCGATTTCCTCATTTGGTGTCGTCAGTAAACATTTGTGTTTTGGCAACTCTAAATCATTTTTAAAACCACTGCTAAAACTTTAAAAAATCCAAGAAGTACTTGTACATGTACATGTAGTATGTAGGTGATGTTGATTTTGAGAATTTGTGGTAAGCTACAAACAAGCTTAGTAATAGTACTTAAATCTGCAAATTAAAAGCAAAATTGTTCTGTCTTTCATCAAAATTTGGCAGTTGGACATTCAAAGTCGTAGAATTTGCATTGCTTCAATCATGGAGGAATAAGAACACATTCCTCCATGCTTCAATTGGCATTGCTTGTACATTTCTAAAAAATCAAGGAACTACATGTATGGAAAGGACAAGTCACCTTTTATGGCAATCAGTGGTTGTGGATAGTGAGTCACATTTTAATGGCAATCACATGCTTTCAGCTTCCAGCCTCTGAAATTTGTCAAGGTCATCGTTTTAATGTTAAGGGGCATGAGGGAGCATCTTAAAGGTACCGCGCCTTCACCAGAGAACGAATGTGCACAGTTGCATGCAGACTGCTCTGACCACCACGCCTTGCCCTTTAAGGTCAACCACCTATAGGCTGCAAGTACTTTGTGTATTGTGGCTCTGTCTCTGTCTGTGGTGTGCAAAACGAAAGTTGTAGGACAGTTGTGTAGTTGTGTAGCCTAGAATTAGCATCCGTAGGCCTATAGCATGTGGTGAGATACTGGTACTGAACCTCTGGTCCTTGCTCTATGCATGGAGGTCCTTGACCATAGGTGATCCCTGGTTTGAAGATTAGACAACTGCACATGCTAAACTCGTAGTTATAGTGGGTGAGTTGCTTGTTCTTCGATGGGTTGGTGAGATGTGCACTTGGGTGGTGCAGTACGGGTACCCGACAATAAATTGAAAAAAGGTAGCGATTTTTTGTAGAGTGAGCACCCGGCCACGCTGATATCGACTTAAACCTTACAAGAGCATGGAGCCTAGCTATTGATAGCGGAGAGCTTACAGCTTAGCTTGTTTGTCAATAAGTAAACAACACTTTTGCAGGGGACACTGGTGTGACTTCGTGTTTACCGACTGCATTTTTGGAGTGGGGATTGGTGTCCGTTTGTTGGAACCACATTCCTCCACTTCCCGTGAAAGGGTTTTCGAGGACTTCAACTGCACTTGAGGATCTGCAGATAAAAATATGGTGAAGTTTTGACTTCAAAGTCTCGAAGTGAAGTGCTTGCTGTTCAACACGTGCACAGCTGAGGTGTCAGGATCTTGAAAATCCATCTGCAAACTGGAAAAGGGAGGAGGCATTTCCCAAACAGCTGTGAAAATTTGTGGAGTTGACTTTTGGGAACCTTTTCGGATTTTTTTTTTCTTACGAAAGGATATCTCACCACCTGGACGTTTATTCAAGCAACTGTAACCATTTTGCGGATATGTTTTTAAGTTTTTATAGTGCAGCCATGTTGGATTCGACAGCTCAGACAAATATTGTGTTTGTTTCTTGGATATCAGGAGTTCTCTATGGTTAGCTGAAAGGATACATTTTGATTTAAGCAGCCGAGGAACCGAATGTTGCTAATGTGGAATGTTCTGGATTCTTCTGAAATGGATATCAATTTCTGATGTAAGTCATCAACCAGCTGAAGTATTGAAAATTCTGAAGTTGACAGTAACAACATCCATAAACATTTAGCAGCTTTGTAAAACGCATTTTCAAGAAAGTGCAACATCTGTGGAATGTCGTTGCCACTTGTGAGCATTTTGCAACCCTCTTAACAAGGATTAGACCTGGAGTAAGATGGCTAAATGTCAAGACCCTCTTTCGTGTGTTTGCCTGTGAAGTTTATCCTTCCGTCACAAATTTCACAGGGTAGCTGTTTGCTTTCCGTACCAGCCTACCCACTCAAGTTGTATTGAGCTCACTGGAGTTTCAATTTATTTTTTACCGTGCTTTTTTGTTCTCTAAAAACAAGCGACGCTACTGCAGAACAAGGTATCAACACAGTGAAAACGGCAGACAAGAAGGAAGAAACCTACGAAGTGACGATCAGAAAAATGTCTGGAGCGTTCAACCGAACAGTCCCCTGTCACAGACATTCCTAAAAAAATGAACAGCGTCAGTTCGTCAGCCTCTGGCTGCTTTTATTAATCGAGCCCGGAGCCCGCTGGCGGAATAACTGGTTGTGCGTGTAAGCAGCCGGCCCAGCTTTGGAAACAAAGGCCTGTGGGAACAAAGGAACGCCCTTGTAGTATAGGAGGAACAAAAATACCAATGCCGATGGCTGAAAAGTGAAACGGTACTGTTGCTATTAATAACTGGGCCAGCGTGTGCCAGTAATCGTTTGTGTAGAGTGCGGAGTGTTGAAATATAAACGCACGGGATGGACGATTGTGAGCAAGCTTCAAGCCAAGTCGCTATGCCAGTGTACACAGACCGGAATGGTGTCTACATGTAGAAGAGGTGGGTTAATGGGGAGAAATCATCACCCCTCTTAAAAAGTCGCGTCTTGGGAATTTGAAACCCCCGGGAGCTTACAGAAATCCTGAGGTCAGTCATTGAACTCTGGTTCGATTGTCGGTGGATAAGTTACTCCTGTGGAATAGATATCTGTGCAGTCGGAACCGGACCGGAGTTGGGTTTCTGTGATTAAGACAGATGTTGAAACGTCTCTTTCAGCTAGGATTTTTGTAAGTGTTCAACTAGACATTTTGAAAGGTCTGTCAGAGTTTTCAGTTTCCAACCAGAGCTAAATGCATTTGATCAGAAATTAGTATATTTCTTCAATTATTTTACACATTGTCTACTTAGTATTGATTTCTCTGTGGTAGTACATGTACAGTGTTGTGAACAGTGAGTTCTTGTAGGCCTATGCGCCTGTTTGATGCTGCCTCAAAGATTCCCAGTGAAAATATTCTTTGGACAGATGGAGCTAGAGTCGGCACCAAAATTGGATGAAAAAAAATCAGGAATTTATGAGGCTTCCCTGGAGTTAGAAAGTGTTCCATAAATTAATCCTCAGTCGCCATGGGAATTTGATAAAGTGGATTAGCAATATTTATCGGTCCGCAGTCAAAGTGCAGACCCCCTTTTCTTGTAAAAAAAATCACCAAATTGGTTGTGAAAGTGTGTTCCGTTTGAATTTCACCCTCCAGTGGATGGAGTTTATTGGATTGGGCTTGTAAGACCCAGAATGGATGGAGTAAAAAGCTGTGTACCTTTTCGTAATCACTGCAGCCACCTTTCTTGACCTGTAAATGACATTAACAGCTGTCTTTTTTTATCCCGGGACCTTACACACTGGTCTATTTATAAATCCTTGCACTAATTTTATCCCGTACCCATTCATGAATAAAATAACACCAAACCTTCGCATGAGTCAGAAAAAAGTCCCTGCACGTGGGCAAAATTCATTTCCATTTTAATACAAAACATCATAGCCAAAATTAGACCCCAAAAATTCCCAAAAGATTACTTTCCATCTTTGAAATTGGAATCTGTCATTACCCATAGGCTTCTCTTGTAACAAGTTCCTGAATTTTACGTGCGTGGTCCTTTCGCAGGAAATAGTATTGCCTTCGTTATATATTGGGAGGAGGAGTCGCCTAGCGAGTCAAAACATTGTTTGCGACCGAACGACCGACCAAGAGGAAGCCAGCAATCAAGAACAGAGGAATTGTTTATCCCGCGGCCTGAAGTTCAGCAGTTGTTGCGGAGACCTCTTTTTGTCGATTAACAACTTTGTAAAAAAGAAGTCAGTGTTTCATAAGATGTGACACAACGTCTTGCGAGAGAACGGCTGTACAAGTGTAAGTGAAGACGTTTGTGTAGCCGGCTGGTGAAGTTGGAATCGTTAAGGTTCCCCGATGTTGCGATGAAGTTTCTGAATCACGCTACAACCTGACAATGTACAGGCCGTGAGAGACGTACATTTAGGCCGCTCTGAGTCTGAGGACGCTTCGTTGTGACTCATCAACCGAGGAAGGGGAAAGAACAGGTTTGCTTGTGCCCCCATCCAGCCGGGGAGAGGAAGCCACAAAATGTGCACGAGCCCCGGCAATGGGGTTCGGAAACCTCAGCTCAACCGAACCACAGTGATTGTGAAACTCCGGCAAACTGCAAGTTAACCTCGGGAGCCATTTTGGATTTTAATACACCGCTGTTGTGGAATACTTGTATTAGTTTTTCGTCGGGGGATTTATAACTTTCAAGACAATGGGGCAGTCGCCGTCGGATCTGCAGAGCCGCAACGGTGCGGCGGGTGGGCCGCTGGCCAGACGGACCCAGTCGTTGCGAGGTTCGGTCCAGTATCGGAACCGTCGGTCCAGCCGTTCCCGTCAGGCCGAGCAAGAGAAGCACCACAGCGTGCACATCATCGAAAGCATTCCAACCGAGATGTTCCTGAGCAGACAGAGACAATACAGAGCATGGCAGCAATATGTAAGTTTTTATAAACTGTAACCATAGAGCAAGGTGTAACCAATTTCAGATTTTTATTGCGGATTTTGATTTTTGTTTATACATGTTTGTTACCCACACGCTACTGTGGTAGGTACATGTATTGCGTAGAATCCACTTTTACAAGCCTAGATTTGTATGAATGTTACTGATTTAATCCACTCGTTGTGCGTGGTACGCAGATTAAAGTAAATTGGCTACGAATAGCACCGTTAAAGTAGACTAGAGACAACAGGCGTATCAACTTGACTCAAGCTTGAACTTTGATTTCATTCTGACTAACTAAGGCAGTTAATTTTGAACAGTGAAGAAGGTGAAGAATTGGAAAAAAAAGTGTGCAAATCCGTGCTTTATTGGCTCTGCGCACAGACAAAAGAGGGCGCTGTGCAATGTGACAATAGCAAAAATAGTCTGGTTCTCGGTTTGCAAGGATTCCACCTAGTAAACATTATAATCAAAATGCACACAAACAAACACGTGTATATCTGTTTATTTATTATTACACACAATATTCCCCTTTACTATGAGTTGACCTGACCCGACGAGTCATCACAGGAAATGTTTACATTTCTCAACAAAAATTGTTCTTGACAAGTATCCCAAAATTAAATTTGTTAAAATTACGAGCAAGGAAAAGAGCAACAAGTTTACAAGAAAGGGAACACTTGTACACAATTGACACAAGTGAACAATTTGTAGCATGCATTCAAGTAAACAAATACCTCCTCCAACAAAAAATGAAACCATTGCAAAATAGTTTAACCATTTCTTAATCTCAACACACTTTAGAGCAGTTAACTTTCACGTTTTTAAAAACATGACCACAAGTTTTGGCGTGCGTCCAAAAACTGAAACAGTTTACAAGTGCATTTCACAATGAACAGGTTTCTGAGTGCAAGGCGCTCCAAAACAGGAAAAGAGTTTGCACAAAAACAAGCCACTGCTAATATCCGCCCGTAATTCGTCACTTGCAGTTTTAACCCTCGGACGCCCCTCGTGACCTGATGTGATGTGCAGTCATGCCCTAAAGGCGGAACATTCATGTATGAGGTTGTTTGCGCACATTTATGTTATTGTACATGTAGTACATGTACTGTGTGCACATAGATTTGCCAATGTACATGTGCTGGTACATGTGTATGGGTATACGCTTTATTCACGAGTTGGCCATATTAAAGGGAATAAACAACATTTGCAAACATCGAAAAATAAAACTACCAAGTTTTTACGAAATACCTTACTAGGATGTTGGTAAATGACAGTCTAAAGCATCCTGTAAAATTATGGCACCTGGTGTCAAGTCATTATCAAGAAAATGGTATTTTTGTATTCATTTCCAACGGTGGTCGGCCGACCACCGTTGGAAAAACCTAACTATTTTTCAACTACTGCTCCAAATTTGCAATTTTTTTCAGTCCAAATTTTGTTTGCTATTGGTTACATGTTCATGAACGGGTGCAGGCCAGCTAGACTGCTTCCCTCACCTTACAATTTTCCGACATCTATAAATTGATCCATTTTACCAGACTACTTAAACATTTTAGTTTTTCTTGGTTTTTCCAGCATTTTCGAACACAAATCTTCAAACATGTCAGTGTAACAATATTTGATCTAACCCCTCAAATAGTTCATTTCTGAAAATTACAGCAAAAGCCAATGATGTACATTCCCTTAAATAGTCTGGCACCATCCTATTCAACAGTTTGCAATTTATAAAATACATTCAGGGAACACGATCAAAAATGTTTTCCTCATGAATAAGGTCTATAGAAATCTATTACTCTCATATGGAGGCCTTTTCTACACAATGTACATGTATGATTTTGGAAGATTTTTGGAAAATTTCATAAAATTTGGCAACATACAATTTTGGGTAGAGTTCACTTTTGAAAAGATAATGAAAAATTAAACATTGTACTTTGTACAAAATGTATTATTGTCTGTTGTACAATGGTCAAATTATGTAATTATCAATTTCAAAATCTATACAATTGACTGAATTAAGGTTTAAATAAAAATAAAATTCAGATACCAAAACCCCAAAATGTTAATCACTAACTTGACATCAATTTGTATTTCCAAAGTTGCCAGTGCTGTGTTACAAGCAGAATGACTCCCGTAATGACAGAAAAATGAATCACCAAACTAGCACGACCCTACATGCCTGTACTTTATTCCTCTCAAAACCTCGGAACTATTATTAAGGACTATTATGCAGTCTTTGTTCACCCCACTCAAAAACCTGCGAATTGCGATCCCCCAAGGGATGATGGGAATAATAGCAAAAAGGTGCCGACACACAGCAGTAGTTAAGTCACGGGCCATTTAACTTTTGAATATAATGGCCGGCAGTAATCGGATTACAAATTCCGGCTTTCACTCTTACACATGCTTCCATTATGATCGCAGTTTTAATTTGTTCATTCATCAGAATTGGGTCTTGAAGGCCTAAACTGTTAAAAAAGGAAAAGTGTTTAGTCTAATCATCGTTGTCCAGGTATCCCCAACCTAAGTCCTTTTGAAGTATTGCCCAAAACCTTCCTGTTTCCTCAAAAATCTTCCACTTCGCGGGGAACCCAATGGACAATTCCACGGTTACTCGCGTTACATTTTTGATGTACTTTTGAGTTTCCTTGGGCTGTAATTACCTTACTGAAAAGGTGTAATAACTGTTATCCCCATGGTAGCTATATAGAATAGACCTAGACCTACCTAAGCACCAAAGATGACATCCAGAAAAATGTGTTATGTATGCTTAAAACAAGATGCACAAAATCGGTTACACACGTTACATTTTCGTAAAGTTGCCCCAATGATGTTTACGTTTTTATTAGTGCTATAAACGTTTTGGAGTCATCAAAGCCTATGTGAAGTAAAGGAGCATACTAGTGTCCCAACTGTCTGTTTATAGCCAAACATGTGCCAGATTCTTTTTCACAAAAGTGGACCAACAGTTTTCTCTTTTAAGCTCATCATTATCAAACTGGTCTCCCCCCCTGCTTCACCTCAATAGTTGTGATTTCATTCATTAAATCCTAGCCATTCAGTGATTCACTAACAACCGTTAATTGCCGTCCATTCCTGCAGAGGAATTCTACAACAAATCTAAACCAGTCATTCCAAGTTGTCTTTCAAAAGTTCGGAGTGCGGACCCTCAGCACCGGGCTTGTCGGATCTTGCCATTAGAGCGATAATTATCAAACACTTTTCGGAAACACAGTTGTTGTTGAGCTTTGGTCAATTTCTCACAACAGGTATTCTGTTGCTGGTGCAAGAAAGGAGCATTATGGTCAATTAAAGATGATTAGAGTTTATCAGAGACATTGATGGGGGACCCCCTGTACTGTACTGGGCAATCCACCACACGGTTGCCAGTGTACAGTACTCTAGTCTATTGTGTTCCGTGCTTGTAAACAAACTTGCTGAAACCTAGTTTGCCTACATGTATGTCACGGCCTCATGGGGTATCGTGATCTGCTAAAAATTCTGGAAAAGCCATCAGGTTCCTTAAAGGGAAGATACAACATTTGCAAACATCAACAAATGAAATGATCAAATTATCACAAAGTACCTTACTGGATTGTAAGGGAAATGACAGTCTAAAGCATCCTGTAAAATCGTGTCTCCTGGTGTGCTGACATTTTCAAGAAAATTTGTATTTTTCCAACGCTGGTCGGCCGACCAGCGTTGGAGAAAACTTTTTTTTCCTTCAAAAACTGCTCCGAATTTTTCATAACAGTTGTTCCGCATTTTCTTTGCAATTGATTACACACCTGTGAAGTGGTACAAGCCTGCCAGACTGATTCTCTGACCTTATAATTCTCCAAAGTCTATAAAATTTCTCCGTTTCATCTTAAGTGGGGTCAGAGAACCAGACTACAAGAACATGGTTGGTTTTCTTGGTTTTTCCAGCATCTACTATCCCAAAATGTGAAACAAGTCAGTTTAACAATATTTGCTATAACATACTAATCGTCCAAATCCATTTATTGAAAATTGCAGCAAAAGCAAATGTTGTACATTCTCTTTAAGGTGATTTCCATGTCCTGGGAAATATCTGTGGGAAATCCAAAATCAACATTTTTACAAACATGCAAAAAAGTTTGAAAACCAAACTTAAGTTGCATAAAATAAAATCAGACGAATTTACAGAACTTTACTCTAAATCTGCTGAACTTTAAAATTATCCTGTCATGCTTTTGACAAATCCCACAAGATCCAGTTTCTTTAATAGTTTTTCCCAAACTATAAAAAGATTGTTTTCACAAATCACAACATTCAGAGTTAATGAAGCAGTCCTATTTTGTTTTTAGAAAAAGGTTTTCCTCCATATTTTTCTTACGTTGTTTCCGCAAAATCAATGATAGCCTTGAAAAAGAAAAAAAGAAAACAAACAAATCTAAAAAAAAAAACCGAATTGCCACACTTAAACTTTTTGTGGTCACTTTTAGTACAAAAAGTTATGCTTGCTGTATTTTTTATCATTTACAAAATTGTTGTATTTTTTTCCCCGTAGTAATAACTGATTCATATCTCTCTGCACAACCAAATATGGACATTTAGTGGCGTGGAATGCTATATTTTGGGAAAGTCATACGAAATGAATTTGGTCTCAGTAACATTAGGACATATCTCGGCCATAAATTCTGAAAAGTGTAAACAGTTGAAACCCATTTTTCTCAGTTTACAATTTCTCTTCAAAACTAAACAAAAATTTATGTACTTTTTTATGTCATCAATAAAATTGTAGCCCATATGGTTGTTCACCTGAATTGGGCATCAAACAATATTATGTGTTTGAAATATGTGTCTTATTGAAAGGATTTGAATTGCAAAATTTGTATTTAAATTTTAATAAAGAAGTTACAAACAGTAAGGTTAAAACATTGAAATCAACCCATTTTTTTTTTTAGAATGCCCTGACCGAGGAATAAAAATAAAAGACACATAATATCTTTTTCTTACTAATACTGCATGTATGG